TAAATATCAGCCATTTGTATTTGACAAGTGACCGTGACTTTCCAAAGCAGTACAATAGTTCTGAGTGTTTGCCTTCCAAATCTAATCTTTGTGCGCTAAGCTCTATCTCACCAACAGTTTTCAGCTTCGTCACAGGCCGCACCCTGCACAGACCCATCTGGATGTAGGGTTGAGTAACAGTGTTAGCTTTAGTGTGGTTTGATAAGTGTCAAGCTAATCTGATCTCTCCTTTTTCTCTGAGACAATGGTATCCCATGCATTCCATTGGCATCAGTTTCTTTTGCTTTTACAAATGACCTGTATAATTTTCTCACATTAAGCATCAAACTAAAGTGGAGATAGTGATAATGAATCAGTGATTATGTTTGCAGTTACCTTCTAGAACAACTAAAACAGAGAAGGACAAGGCACAGGCACAAGACAAAGTTTTCTGTCAGCACTGCTCCTGATATTTGCCTTGGCCAAAGCGCCTCAAGTCTTCCTCTTATTAAAGTCATCATAAATATATTCTATCTGATGGATGCCCAGTTTCCTGGTATTTAGCAGTGCAAATTCCTACTCTGCTTACCTCTCCTCCTGCCATAGTCTTCCGACCTCTCTATTTAATCTCTGTGAGCAACCTCATTGTTGAGGCATGTTATTAAGAAGTCATAGCTCTGGTCTTGTTTTGGGCCAGCTGTCAAGGCCCCTATCTCTGGGAAGTCCTGAAATAGCCCTGTTTTACACCCTTTTAAAGGACAAGTCAAAGAAAGGACTTGGAACTACAACCAGGCACTATATGACTTGATACTGAATAGCAGACTAAATTAGACGTGTATCCTTAGTCAAACAGTCTCTAACAGATTCTGGCAGGAAAGTGCAAATGTTTCATTATCAGGGAGTTTAAGTGATAGCAAGAGACCTCCGAGAAAAAACAACAAAGACTTAATGTCCCCACTTCTTTTTCTTCCTTTTTTGGGGCAGTTATGTCATTTAATTGATTATAAAGTGTTCCAGTCAGATTTGCCAATATCTGGGAGTCAGAGGAGTCAGATCCATTTGTCGAGATCATGTTTGACATGATGGTTAGCTCCTATTTTAAAGGTTCCAGCAATAAGTAACAGAGCCTCCACTTAAATTTTTCTCTCTATTTTCCGTTCTTGCTCTCTGACACAAATACACTTTCTCTGCAGTTTATTATTCAAAGTGACCAAAAGTAAAAGACCGCTTCCTTCTCACATCTACAGTATACATCAAAAAGATCAATAACCCATCCGGGGCAATGCCACCGCAATAAAATCTTGCCAATGGGCCAAGAAGCTGCAAAAGAGAAGCTGCAAAAGTTACCAATAAATGCATAGCAAAACTTTCAATTTGTGGCTTTCTTGGTGTGGCTCTTGCAGCCAGTGTGTTGTCAGTCAGGGCCCTGGTTCAAAAAGCCCTGGGGTTTGTTTGCTGCTGTTTCTTTTTGGAAACTTGTGGCTTCATGACATCCGCAGCCATCCATTGGGCCGTGTTGCTATATTGCCTCATATTATCCAGAGTTGAGGAGAATTGTTTTTGGCAACAGAATGCTAACATTTTCCTACGGCACAAACCTCCAAGTGGGGCCCTCTTCTTCTTCTTCTTGTGCATGATGATGCTGATATGCAAGGTTTGTAAGGTCCTCCTCTAGTCGCTATATGGCTACGTACTCGACTTTCTCACTGGTGAATTGTTTGAATAGAAGATTAATTAATGGACCATTCGATCAAGGTTGGTCTTAAGCTGCACATACAAAACCATCGCATATGCTTCATGGCCACATACAGAAAACCCCTTGAGGCATTTCTGCTGTTTTTTCATGTTAAATGGGTTCTGGAAATATATTCAGAAGGATTTTGCTCTGTCATGTGTTTTAGGCTGTAACACGTCTTGTGAAAACAACGAGGCAGGCCACTCACTCAGTGTCTTTCTCCGTGTCATGTTTTCTTTTGTCCATTTGGTCATCATTTCATGTCAATATGAATGGTGCTAAAGTGCTGCTGAAAAACTCCTGACTCCAATAACACAAGCTGTGCTATGAAACCCTAATAATGGTGGGGTTTTCCCCTCCTGTCTAGTGTGAAAACACACACCGCCGACATGGTGAGATACACACACATGCACTCTCACATACACAAATACACACATTTGCACATATTCCTAATGAGGGTCTGGACAGCTCTTGGTGGAAGGATTCTGCAGGTGGCTGCACTTTCATCAATCCACGACTGGATTTGTTTATGTTTGAGGTCATGTGGGCCAAAGAAAGAAGTTTGTGTGCCCAGACACACACTTAAACACACTTTCTAATTACTTTCACTTCAGTGTTTTCTCTTTTTCATAAGACATATTGACATGTCAGCATTCAGTGGGCTAGATACAGAACAAATGGACAATTTTACCTCCTTCTGTGTAGTGGAAAATCTTTCCCTCTCAGCATAGGCCAGTCTCTATGTGGATCTGTCTCACCAACCCAGAGTAAAAGTCACTTTGAGATGATGGTGACACATGCAATAAATCATAGCACCAGCAGTCATTGGCCAATTACATTTTCCTTTCCTAATTAATAGCTTATTTATTTGCTTGTCGGGGTCCTGCTGTAAGGCTAGGGTATTCTGTGACTGCCTGTGTGTGCTTCTCTGGTATATCATATATATATTTGTCATCATTGCAAACCTGTTAACTATTCAAAAAACCCACCAGATCATTTTTAGACAGACAAACAATTTAGATTGGAACTGCACAGAATTCAAAGCCAAGAAGCTTTACCATTAGCATTTTCCTGACGGTCAGCTCAGTGTTGCTGGTCCCAAAAGTTTGGTTTGGATGAGCCCACACAGTCCCGACCCCCCAGCTGAAGCAGAAAGACATCAAGGCATCAGTAAAAACCACTCATGTCTGCCTGCATGTCTTTTAGGTTTTAAATTACTCTTGCACAATTTGATACACACACATATTTACACTTGGCATGTAGCTGAACAAAGCAGGGGGAAAGTCCAGAAATTGTCCTGTAGTGTGTTGAATGCCTGGTAGCATTTTAGACGACCCAGCCAAGCTGTTGGTTTTGTAAACTGTTGCAGCTGCTCTTGTGCATTACAATAAGGGGAAGTCCTCACTCTCTGTCTCTTGTTTTCCGTCTCTCTGTTTCACTGTCTACTTGATTGCCATGTTTAAAGAGAAATAAATTGGAATGTTTGTTTTTCAGCAAAATGGCAAATTTGTGATTGTTCTCTTTAATTTATTCAAACCAGCACATCAACATCTGTGGCTGTTCTTTCAGTCTTCAAAATACAGTTTATAGACATATACACCTCACACAAGCCTGCATAAGTGGAAGAGTTCTCATCTACTGATACTGATCTACTCTATGTGGCAGCTGCAGAATCCTGCACACTTTCACTTGAACTGATGTTATTAACAACTATGTGTGTCAGGAGTTTTTCAGCCAGGTGCATCTGTAGCAAACATAAAAATATGCGAATTGAGAATCACACTGACACCTTATGATGCAGACCAAACTTTGAGAGATTTTGCAGTTCAGCATTCCTTTGCTACAGTTACAGTTCAAAAGGAGATGATTTTGAGATGACAGATTTTGTTTAGTCATGGGGGAGACTGCATCTTTTGTGGGAGATGACATGTGTACTGTTGCCTTGTTTGAAACCGATTTCAGGAACAGCAGGCTTCTGTAAAGGTTTAGATGATGGTTAAGTAGGTTGAGAACATTGTTGTAAGTATTAGCGGTATAATTAATCCCATTTGGTGAGGCTGAGAAACAGATCCCTTGACAGCTTAGTGTAGGAAACCATGGCGTATGGTACATCCGTGCACATATGGCCCATCTGGTTCACTGTTTAGTGAGAGGAGAGAAAGAAGAACTGAGAGTGAACTTCTATTCACCGGGGAGTAAATAGTCCTGTGAACAAACCTCTGGACATCTTTATGTAGAGGCACATGTGCATACATCCACAGGTTTATACCCACAATTTAGAATTACTTCCTGTGAACTGAGACCCAGTACAGAAAGGTGCATAAAAGAGGTTGTTCTATAGATTTCAAAGAATAGCTCCACAGTTTCCATGGCAGATTCCACAGAAGATAAACATCTCTTTCCATTCACTGCAGATCCCATTAGTTTAGGAAATACAAACTTTAATATGACAGCTCTAATATAAAGGTAGCCAGTCTTGCCACAACACCAAACAACACACCTACTGTTAAAATTGCAGATGTGGAGGAAAGGGTACAGGAAAAATCAAGCTCAGATATGCTGTATGTCTGTGCTTGAGGAACTTTCATACTTAGCCTCACCTCACCTAAAGCCACTCTGAAAACAGTCTGCATCACTTCTTTGATCCTCAGTTGCCATCAATGGGCTTCAGAGAGGGATAGAAAGAGACAGGCAGATGGAGAGAGACTCTGGGTTGCCATTATATGTGAAATGCCCCCACACTGCAGTAGACCAGTCCCATCTTTTCATCATTTCCCCACTTCCTTCATTTCCTCCGGCAGACACTGGGAGCATTCTACCACCCATCTGCCCCCAGTAAATATTGCTTGAAGGCTTAATTATACGCACACACACACACACATACACACACAGTACCCAGACACAGTCTCGCCGAAATTTCCTGCAACGCTGAAGCAGAGAATTAACGTCAAATCAGTGGGGCATTCATTCATCAGAGTCAGAGTGTATATGGTGTTATGCTTGCTTCTGTGTGTGTTTTTGTGACCTCTCCGTCTATTATTATATCCCTGTGGTCACATTTGTAGCCGGGTGGGTCTGTGTGATGAACTACAGTACAACCCATGGTCAAGGCCTCATGAAGCACTGAAATCAATATTTTCTTTACATGATTTAACAGATTTTTTTTAATCAAATCAAACTTAATCTTATTTTCTCTAGTACTTCTTGAATGTCTGTGAATTTTAGTATGCACTTTTGGTAAGCACTTTAAAATATAAATTATCTTTTTTGTTTGTTTGTTTTTCAGCAGATAATGAATGACCATGAAGAGGCCTCTCCAGACAGCTGCATCAAAAAGGTAGGGGAGTGATATCTGTGTTTACTATTTCACAAATCCTTTTGCCGTACTCATGCACAGCTATTGCATGCACAGAGTACGCGTAATGGAAATCACAGATTACATGGCTTAGTAATAAGTAATCTTTTTTTATGCTAAATTCACTAGTTCATCAGCTGTTTCATTAATTCATAAACGATGTTTATCAAAGAAGACAGACAATGATCTACAATCTAGGTAACCCTTTATTCACTCAGAGAAGAGCACTGACACACACACACACACACACTGTGACCGATACGTCCCATTGATCAGTCACTGACCACTTTATGAGGTGATAAATTTATTGAAGAGCCTGGGCTGTTTGTTTTTACGGCCAATGTCATTGGGTCAAGACAGGACAGCAAGAGAGTTCATGTCCATCTAATAGTCCATGAAAGAACAATGGCTCCACGAGAGTGGACACTCTTTTTCAGAATAAATGATAGGTGTAACACCAACTCAGGTCAGTGACCTGGTAGTTAAAGGATAAAGCCGTACATTTTTTATATTAATAGTATTTGTGACAATCCCGATACAGAGACTAAAACCAACAGTGAATGGCCTCTAAACACAGTTAATGTCTGTCAGTCTCCAACCTGGATTCACACAGACCTCCGCTGTTGTTCAAAAATGATTATAAACACATCAGTGAAACACATGAAAGAAACACACCACTGCACTGGGTGACATGTTTCTTTGTTATGAAACACCAGATCCACATATTTGTTAAAAATGTTGCCCCAAAAGCTTCAAACAGCCACAAGTTTTCACAGCATTTGAAGTGAGCAAGAGTCAACTGTGCATGTGTGAGATCATTGTGAAAGCACAATGAATCAGAATTTAAAAAAAACTGACCTTGCAGTACACAGGCTGGTTGAAATAAAACTTTTGTTTACCATGCTTACTGTATGTGGATTTTCCTGAAACTTGGTTTACACGATCCAGCTAAAAATAAGCATTATGTCATGTGAGTGACATGCTGTAGACATTGCAAACTTCTTTTACTGAGCTATGAATTTAGTTAGCAGAGACAGTGCAAGTGAGATTTGGAGTCTTCAAAGTTTGCATGCATCTTTTGTCTTATCTTACATGACAGAATGGTCAAAACATCAAGACCAGAACTAATGGTGAACCACTTCTCCATACAAAATCCAGCTCCCCTTAATAAAAACAGTGTGAGAGCAGAGGACATGCTGACATAGATGCCTCCTGAGCAACCTTAGCATTTCACATAAGATTTTGTTTGGTTTAATTTTCAATTATGACCAATTTGACCCCTATAAAAAAAATCTGTTAAATGTCTTTATTTGCATTTCCGGTCAAGGGCCTAGCCGTACCCTCTATAAACAGGCAGGTATGTAAATCACCAACTCCTTGGTTGATTTGAAATCCTACATTAGTCAATGAGCGTATTTTAAGAGTTGACCGCAGGTGGTTTGGGCTGTTCCCTGTTCCCCACATGTTCGTACATTGTGGAAAAGCATAGACGATTTATAAACTACCTAACCACCCTCCGCGTGAGAGTGAACTGCACACACACACACACACACACACACACACACACACTTTTATATGCTGACATCAACATGCATGCACACAAACAGTAGTGTACATGCACAGATAGGAGCGTAAAGTTGAAATCAGGCTGACACAGATGACAAAACACAGACATGCGTTACACTTACCTTCAGTATCCAAACACACACACACACATTGGCCACATCTCATTATGCAGAGTGTGAGTTGCGGTGGGCCCTCGTCGAGTGGTGGCAGACCACATGCCTGTTATGAATATGAGCAAAATTATGCATGAGCCTTTCTTCATGACATGACTCATTCATCCACATCATGCAGTCACTCACACACACAAACACGGGGCATACTGTAGGTGCACACGCACATGAACACTGATTTCTCCTGCTGCCACCATTTTACCATCGCTGTGCTTGATTAAAGCAGAATGTTAATTGAGTTGTAGTTTGGGAATAAATCAGTTCACTGTTTAAAGGTGTCTGTGTGTTGGTGAGACTGTGTGTTATTAGTTCTCATTTGCTGCTGTGCTTTACATTGTAGTTCTACTCTTCTGTTGTGCTTAAATATATTTTTATACAATGATAAGCATCTCCATGCAGCTGCAGTACTTATTGAGTTGATGTAAACTATGCTTTAAACCACAATAGTCAGATGACTTTTATATAGGTAGTGTGCCAACTTTTGCAGAAACAGGCAAAAGGAGGCAGAAAACAGGCAGAAAATGTGAACAAATGACATCTATAAGCACTGGAAGAAATAAAGATGACTTCATTTAATCTCTCTATGTTGAATTTAATTCAGGAGTCAGAGACATAGATTTTTGATAAGTAACAAAACATTTAATAACCTTTCAGTATATGTCAACATCATTATTTAATTCACTGTCATACAAGGAGAACCTTTCAAAACACATGGCAGCAAATTAAGACGAACTGAAGATAAAATCATTAGATTTTATGCTAAGGCACAAAAAGCTGTTTCAGTAATGTACGATAAGAGCAATGAAACAGGAATAAAAAAAGACAATTAAAGTGAAATTTCAACAAAGTAAAGTCAGGATATGCTGTCCAATGAAAATATATCTTAAGAAAAGATTTTATAGTGTCCTGGCTGTAAACTCAGTTACTATAGAAACACACATTCACCCTGTCCATCCATTGATGCTTTCAATATGTCCACAAACACAGGCTCATTGCACATTGTGAGTCAGTTTGAAAGGAATGTAGAAGCAGTCGGGGGCACTATTTGAGTCATGGTTAAGGCAATGGATAAAACGGAGGCAAAGATGTTATTGTAGCTTCTCTAGCCCATTTAGTGAGAGCTGCCCAGAGCTTTCCTCTTTATGTGTGTGTGTGTGTGTGTGTGTGTGTGTGTGCCTGGCATTACTCATACTGTGGGGACCAAAACCTGTTTACACTCTCACTATGCACAATATGAAGGCTCAGCCTTTCTTGTGGGGACCATATGTTGGTCCCTACCATGTAACTCACTGAATTTTAATGATTGTGTTTAAGGGTTAGGTTTCATCTCCAGAAAATAAATGTAAGACAAAGTTCCCACAAGGAATGGAAATAAGATTGTGTATGTGTGTGTGGATTGATGCTGCACTGTGCATCATTCAGTGCAAGTCTGTTGGAAAGTCTAAAAATAAATATAAAGTAAGGTGCAGTAAGGTCTGGTTATTAACCAGTGAGAGTACAATGACCATATGTACTCTGACTGGCCACTTGTACACTTGTATGCAATTCACTGCAACACATCCCCCTTAACATCTGTTTCAGTTTTTGGTAAAATTGTAATAAATAATATTAATAGTTAATAATGTTATTAATACCCCAATATTCTAACCCTCTCATGTATGTAGTTGGGGAAGACAAAATTTTAGAGACACCTCTGAATATAATGTAGTCTACTACAACCCCACCTTCAACTAACCCTAACCCCCTAACCTCAATAATAAACATATGATTGAATGTATACATCTGTGACAATTTCACCAAAAACTGAAACATTTTGAGCTTCATAAACAGATGTTAAGGCAGAAGTGTTGTAATGAAGTGATTATTAAAGCGGACGGTCAGCGTATGACATGTACAGTATGTTGATTGTCAGGGTAGGAGATTTAATTACTAACATAGAGGACAGTTGCTGTACAGCATGATGGTCGTTGGCAGGAAAGACCTCCTCTAGCGTTCTTTGCCATGGGAGAGCTGAAGAAGTCTCTGACTGAAAGTTTGACAAGTGGGTTGTGGATGAGATGCAAGTGGTTCTCCATAATGCTCAGCAGTTTATGCACCATCTTCAGGTCCCAAGCATAGATCCAGCCTTCCTGATCAGTCTGTTGGTCACTGGCTCTGATGCACCCGCCTCAGCAGATCGCAGCGAGAAATATTGCACTGGCTGCAACAGACTGGTAAAAGATTTGCAACATCTTGCTGTCCACAGTAAAGGACCTCCTTAAAAAGTACAGTCCACTCTGCAGACACCCTCTGTGTTACAGCTACAGTCCACTGTTGTCGAGGTGGACTCCAAGGTATCTGTAACTCTGCACCACCTCCACCTTCTTTCTGAGAATGGAAATCATATTTGAGCTAGTCCTGGTCCTCCTAAAGTCTGCAACCATCTCCTTGGTCTTGTAGTTTGTAATTCAGGAGGTAGTGGAGGCATGTACTGTACCTGCATCTTCTAGAGCTTCTTCCTCAGCAGAACAGGTTGGATAGTGTTAAAGATACTGGAGAAATCAAAGAACATGCCAGTGAACTTGTGTGTGTGTTTTGAAACCACACTTTCTTAGACATAGATCAAGCCCTATTGGCTTACACACATGCTAACATACATAAATACACATGCATCTTCATCACCCAGCCACAGAGAGAAAAAAAATTTCTTATCTGAATCCCTTCTCTGCTTACTTCATACATCCTCCTTTGATTTCATCCCTCTCTCTCTCTCTCACACACACACACACAGCAGACAGGATGATGTAGTTGCAGCTATAGATTGCTATCAGAGGCTATTGGTGATAGAATCAAGGATTGTTTGGTTCGGTCTGATCTGGCCATACAAACCAGGACTATCTGTCTGTTTAGCTGTCTAGGCCCTGCTTACATGTATTCTCACTCACAGACTGTTAATACAGTGTGTGTGTAAGTTAATAGGGTATCGGAGGAATTTCTTTTCTTTTTGGATTCCTTGGATTTCAAAGCAGTATCCATATAGAGAGCAGAGCGTAGAAGGCAGTGCGCTCTCTCTCTCTCTCTCTCTCTCTCTCTCTCTCTCTCTGTGTTTGTGTGTGTGAGTATGTGTTAATCCTCATCTCCAAAAAAGCGCCGGCTGTCCATCCCGATGTGTGTAAACACTCTAGCAGATCAGATGGCAGATAATGACTTCCAGATAGACACCCTCCATTCAACCAGCTGAGAAAATCAATGAGCACTGATTGCTTT